GTGCTTCCTGGCAGCAGGGGTCAAGGCGGAGTGTCATTTCCCCTACTGGCCCCAAGACATGGCTCTGCAGCATTGAGGTACGGTCCCCTGTGGAGTGCTCTAGCTGAACGGAAGCTAAGGATTGGGTGCTAGGATGGCCCTGGGAGTTGCCTGTGATTACAAGAGACTGCTGGGCTCACCTTCGTAGGTGGAACAGATGTCCTTCTGGGTGGCAGTGGGCGTCGTTGCCACTGTGTCCGCCTGCGACAAGAGTGGGCATGAGGGGCTTGCTGGCAGCGGAGGTGTGGAAGGAGAGGAGCCAACATCTGGTTGATGATTTCTGCATACCACACAGTGCTGAGGGTTCACATCGGACCCCTTAGCAGACAAACGGTACCTTGATGGAGGTCTAATTGGGCCTGGGACCCCCAGAGGAAATCCAGCCCCAAGATTCAGGTCTCCTGGGTGGGGTTGATCCGTCAAACTGGTCCCTTGAATCGCAGGTTCCCTGCTTCCATGACAGCAGTGGCCCAACACTGGGGGGAAGTGGAACCCTACAATAATTTACTATTTAAAGTGCATATAATCTTTTTTTTCTTCCCTAAGACTTTGTCTTTTAAAGCTGAATAACTGCTTCACTAAGTTGCTAACAGTCTAGTGTGATTCACCATGTTTATTAGTTTAATAATGTTCAGCACTGACTTGGCTGAATAGTACACTATCAAATAACATGAGAACAATTCATTTATTCTCCAGGTGTGACAATTCTTAAAGGTAAGCTAGAAAATTAATGTACTTAATATACTGTATATACATTTCCATGAACCGCAACCCTTACTCAATTTTTAGCCATCTTCTCATTTTTTTTCATTCCATGTATTACTGGGAGCAAAAATGTTAATATTAGTAAATACGACATAATCACAAGTCTCAGATGCTGAAGTACAACTTGTTTTGTTTCTAAATATTTTTTATTTAACAAAAATATGAATGGATCTGCTCAAAGAAATATAAACAAAAGGACATGTGAGACAAAGAGACAAACAGCAAATACAATACTTGTGGCACAATTGGCAGCAATTCAGCATTTTTTTATAACACAGCAGTAAGTCAGACCTTAATTCTTTTCAATAACAGAGAAAAGATGGAATAACATAAGGCAGAAAATATGTCTCATTAATAAGAAAGATAAGAAACGTGAGGATCTCCACCGTGAGATGAATTGGAGACTTTGTTAACCTAACAATCTGAATGCAATTTCAGTTATAAAGCTTAAATATTGTACCTTTGATTTCCATTTGTAATTGTAATTCTGTTCTTATTTTTTCAATCCTTTACTATTTCAGCATGCTTTATCATCCTATTTATGAAAGCAAAATTCCAAAACTGTTTCAAAGCTGCTTGCTTTCATACTATGTGAACTAGGCAGCTAAATATGGTTGAATGGTGTAACACAAATTACAATACATCTGGCAACTTTATCTCCTGTGCCTTTTTGTCTGTGTTTTAGTTCAGCTTTCACAATCCCGAAATTCTTTCCTGGAATGAAATGGGACCATGAATTCTAGAGCTTTCATTCCCAAGGTATCCAACCATTTTCCAACTGTTCCATCTAGTACAAGGTTGGAGGGACACTGGAGTCCAACTTGGCAAGCAAGGCGGGATACACCCCCGACAGGACACTAGTCACATCACAGGGCAGACAAATACACACTCACACCAGGGCCTGTTTTTCTCAGAAGCCAGTTATCCTACCAATATGTCTTCGGACTGTGGGAGAAAACCAGAGCGCACAGAGGAAGCCCACGTGAGTAAAAATCTCCACACCAATAGAGTCCTAGGGATTGAACCCAGGGTCCCAGCACTGCAAGGCAACAATGTTAACCACTGTACCACCCATTCCTCACATATTAACTTTATCAATGAGTTACATGTTTAGATGATCCTTTAGATAATTCACTGCTTTCTCTATTTCTCAAAGATACAAGAAGGTATGCCACTAGATACAAGTCTAGATATGTAACAGGGAAGAAAGAAAACACAGCATTTCAGCCGTGGAGCCTTCTACAGGTGTGACACCTGAAGTAGGCTCCACGGCCGAAATGCTGTGTTTTCTCTCTTCTCTTATCAGCATGGAATAAACCTTTACTTGTTCCTTTGCAGCCTCCGCATGCTGACGCAGCTCCCCACCTGAACTAGATATGTATCATACTAGATACAAGTCTAGTGTGCTGGACTAGAGAACAGGAATGTCCTTTTAAACAAGAAGAAGCCACTCAGCAATGGTGCCAAAGCTGGCCTTCAAGACCCACCTCTAACAACCAAACATACCTGATGGGCCACAGATCCTCCTCTTGTTTGTAACCTTTGTAACCTCTTACGCTCTTTACAGAATACTACATATCAGTACCATAACGAAGCGGTGTATTTTTAGATAACTTTTTTTCTTCGATTTTTATCTGTCCCTCAAATAAAAGTGTTCTTCTAGAAATAAAATTAAATCCTCAAGGTGGAATCAAGAGTTCTGTATTTGGAATTTTGATCTACTTGCATGACTAAATCTATTTCATTGTAGACACCCAGCATGAGCCACCTTTGAGGTTACATTTCAGACAGCTAAAGGCACCTGTGACTAAGATTTTGCTTTGATTTAACCTGTAATTAATGTTTACTTCAGTTTCTGAGTCAGTTTAATTCAGCCTGGTCTTTGACGAACAGCAAACAGATTAAGAAGCCTGAATTTTTGCCCCTTCAATCAATGAAGCAAATGTTGTTAGGAGCAAACCGTTTCGATGTTTTCCACAGGGAATGCAAATACATTGGCAAAAAATTAAAAATAGTCTTTCCTTTCTCTCTCCACGCTTGCTTTTTAATTACAGAGGAGTTCTTCCTGCTTACCGCCCTGGCAAATTCCAGAGCTGCCACCAGCCTGCAGTACCAAGAGCCTGAGGGAAGCTGGAAACTGAAGACTGTAGCAAGGGAATTCTTTCAGAAATTCAGGAACTACACAAATGCAAAAAATGAACTGTGCTTAAAATTCAGCTTGGACGCTGCCTTATTGCTTTGGATCTTCTAACTGTAGAGGAGCTCCAGGAGACTGCAGTACAGATGACTCATTGAATTGATGATTTTAATACTCAGCATAAAACGTTTTAGCCAATGTCTGTCAATTATTGAACTGTTTTATATATCAATAATATTGATGATGCCGTCGTCATGACAAATGTATGATTTGCAGCCCCCGGCACAGTGTTAAAAAAAAGTCTTCGGGAAAAAAGGGGTAAATGTCCCGTTGTTGAATTCACAGGATTTCTGTCTGTGAAGTGATCCGGCTCTGCATCGTGCAGTTTAGCAAGCTTTGTTCAGGATTGTACACACGAGAGGAATAGAGGAAGACAAATCAACTACACAGAAGGTTATTATGGGGAGGATATATCACCCTCTGGTTTGAGGATAAATTCTTGACAGTCCAAAGAGCAGATTTGTGTCCTTTTCATGCAATCTGAAGAATACTTGTAAAAGAATCCTTCCTTTAGTTGCCTTGCACTTGTCTTGAATTAATACTCCATCTTGGGTGAGGATTAACCACTACAAGCCGAATCTGAGGTGAGTAATTCCTCCTGTGGCCTGTCTGGAGAGCTGGAAACCATGAAGCACGGGCTGAAGCACAGCAGGGGACACTGTTTCTGTAAATGTGCACCATCTGGGTTGAGCTGACTTAATGGGATTGACACATGGCCACTGTGAATCCACTGGTCTGTCTTCTGCCCAGATGCAAAAAGCACACCCAGTTCTTCGGCCACAAAGGCCATTTCTTGCTTTTCTTAAGGTGGACTCTTTGAAATGACTCTTACTAGCATCTGAATCAACGATCTTCAAAACTGGATCACACTAGTAAAATGAATTTTCTATACACACAACACATTTTCCTTGCTGAACAATGGCAAGCTTCCTTTTTCCTATGTCGAAATTGATTGATTATCACTTTAAATTGCTACAATTGCAAGGACACCTTTAACGCCTTTATCCTAACTTTGCAACAAGCTGTTTTGTTTTAGAATGAGCTTTCCCCAGACTCCTTTTTCCTTCTGTTATACTTTTTCTATATTAAACTTAGCTATCTGATGGGGCCTGCAGAGGTAACAGAAGCTGCATATATAATTCAGTGCTACGTGTGAGAAAAACTTGAAATGGACTGCTGTTTTTGAGTTATGTTAAAGTTCAAGTGCACTGTGTGATCATACTTCAGAAAAGGTTTTGTAGGTAAGCAGACCAGTCTGTTCCTAAAAATACCATACATTTCTGTACTACACCTCTAGATAAGCTTGTGTTGTCTGAAAGGTAATCTCAGATTAAGCCTGGACTTCACAGGTGCTAGACAAAGAGTTTGCCTGATAATGTTTTGAGACAGGTGTTTGTGTTTTACGTAATGATAGGTCTTTTAACAGGACACACTGGAATGGAAAGACACTGAAAAATGCAATGCACTTGTACTGGAAAACATGTTACATGTTGTGGAATACATTTTCTGCAGAAGCATCTTTTAAATTATCAATCTTCATTTACAAGCACTTTTAATCATCATTGTAATTTAAATGTGTTTAAAACAGTCCATATTTTACAATAAAAATACAAACTGAAATACAGGATACCGCATTTAGATACATGTTTGCATGTCTGGACCAGAAACAAACATGTTTTCTCTACTTATTCTAACTCATCTGTTGCCTAATTTTTTCACAAATCGTAACAGGCCTCGTGAACTCAAATATGTAATAAATCAGGTCGGCAAAAATGATTAAAAAACAAATTTACGCATTAAAAAAAAATAAAATACAAAACACATGAACAAACCTGCTTTGTGATACGAGTCAAAGAAAGTTTCCACCTTAAGAAAAGCATTTTTTCCCAAATGCCAACTGTACACAATCTGAAGAAGGGCCTTTCTCTGGTCCGCTCTCCCTCTGTTTCCATGAGGTGCTTACGAAGTCTAGTAACCCCCTTCTCAGCATGCCTTGTTTGTTTAATGACATCAGAACACCGTCTGTTTTCCTTTGCACTTTCTGCAGGAACCGTAAATGGCTGAGACCAGATAGGCAGCAGCACACAGGCAGCAGAACACAGAGGCTGTGAGGTATACTTTATACAGGCAAAGGTGCTTGTAGAGCTCCAGATTGCAGAAACTGTTCTTATCTGTCTTATAGATCATGATGCCCAGAGCTACAAAAAACAGTAGCGTGGCTAACAGGTCATGCAAGGTATTGCTCAGCAGCCAGCGATCTCCACCCAGGAAGGGCACAAAGTCTTGCCTGTCCAGGAGTGTGACGAAGTAGAGAGCCAGTGTCAGGAGCCAGAAGAGCACAGCCACGAAGAGGACGAAGTGGATGGAGCCCTCATACTTGTTGGCAGCGATAGTGATCCACAGCCCGGCTCCCACAAGAATTTGTAGGACTCTCAGGATCCCAATGAAGCTCTTGAGGAACTCCTTCTTGACACTCAGGCTGGTCCTGTTCACCTGCTGCTGAGGAGGCATGGCGGTATCTCTGAAATATTCTCCGCTTTGGGGGGAAAAGGCTCTGCTTGTGGTGAAAAGGGAAGACAGTCGGAGAAATCTTTAGCCCCAGGGTTTTGAAATCAGTCTTTCGTCTTTTCCGTTTCCTCTGTAGCTGCTGCAAAGCTGTGCATCCCCTCCCTTCCTTTTCTTCAAGGGGTGGACTAGGGTGCGTGGAATTGGGGGCAGGCTTGAAATTTAAATCTTTCTCCTCCTCCTTCCCCTGAGCAAATGGTTCCCTTGCTGTTTCTTTGGAAACAAAGAGCTGTGGAAGGGGGATGTTGTGGTCAGAGTGTACGAAGAGCAGTCTCTCTGTCCATCTCCAGGCTTTGCTCTATTCTGCCCTTTTAGAATATGAAAAACAAAACAACAAAAAGGTTCTGTACTCTTCTGGTCTTAAATGTACTTTTTTAACACTGAAATTAGAAGGTCACTTTTTGAGGGGAATTTGCACAACTAATACTAACACATTAGCAGTTGTAAGTAGTAAACTTTATTTTTTTACACAAAACAGTTTGGTTGATGTAAATTTGTATTTAGAAGACAGGGTAATACTGAATCAATTAATATTATTTCTCATATTCTACCTATTCAGTGCTAAATTATTTAAATAAATAACTACAGATTGTGCATGTTTCTTTTTTCTAACATTTCTGTAAAAAAAAACAAGGAAGCACTATAGTAACTCTAATGCACTGAGACCACCCTACACGTTTATAGGTTAATAGGTTAGGTAAAACCAGAAATCACCACAGTACCGCAACTGAGAAGACACGGATTGCCTTGCACATCACCGTTAAATAAACAACGGCATTTCTCCGGAGAAGGATTATTGTCTTGCATATTTCTCTGACTGTAATAAAAAATATTACATATTAAAATGTGTATATTATTATATATACAGTGTATATATATATATGCATTGGCAAACCAAAGGACTGGGTTATTTTTTAAAAAACCTCAACTCTTTTTTTTAAACATAAAACGTTTTCATAATTGGCCCACTTTTTACAAAAACATGAATAAAATTAAAAACAACGTGCAAATATTCTGCTTCACCGAACGTTATTGGTGGTTGCAGAGGAACAAGTAATAGGTTTATTCCATGCTGAAAACAGAAGAGAGAAAATACAACGCTTCCGTTATTGTTGGTATACGTTTGTATTTTATGGTCCCGCCTTTACTTTAAGACCCGTTCCTGAAATGTTGTATCTTTTTTAACAAGTCCGGGTCTTTATGCTGTACTCAGTTTAGACTTTTTTTTTTGTTATACCATCATTCTTAAAGTCACTCCACAGCATCTCCGTGGGATTAAACTCTTCGGACAAACATTTTATCTTAAAACAACAGGTTGCCATAGATCACTTCACATGAAAACAGCCACAGTACAATCTCTACTTCACTCAAGAACAGAGTAATAAAGTCAGCGGACCACAAAACATTTATGTAAAACGCATAACTGTAATTAGTATAAAACAGCAAGGATACATCTACAGCTGTAAATCAATTTTAATTAAAAATGTCTTTAGCCTGATTTCAGCTCTGACACTACAGGAGCTTCCTTTGCATAAACATGAACGGTTACAAACGTAAACGTGACTGTCAGACCGCTGCCGACGTTGACAGCGCCAGACTGCTGTTCGTCGTGTGAAGTGCGGAACGTTTTGTACTCGGGGTCAAAAAAATGAAACTCTAAAGCGCGCAAACACGCGTCTGGGGGGGTTATCGTTATGATTTTAGCTATCCCCGCGGCCACAGAGAAGGCTCTTTTCACAGTACTGCAACCCCAATTGAGCTCACAGCCCTGGGCATTGACGTCAGTAAGGGATTACGCTTTAAAAGCAGCGACGTGGCCCTGCAGATGTTAACGGCTTGCCACGCCTTTGTCGGTTTCGGATTGCTCCAGAAAAACTGCATCCAGCCTTATGGGCGGAGACGGCCCTGTTTCTGTTGCTCACTGTTAATGTACGCCTGCAGGGTGGGATGAATACTGAAATGTAACCTTCCTATTGTAGTTTGCAATGTCAGGCTGTACGGAGCGGGCAGAAAAAGCTGAAGGAGCTACATGAGGTGACGGCTTCTGTTTTTCAAGAGCAACGTCGTGCTGAGGTAATAAATCGTGCAAGTAAAAGTATTTTGACTGTTTTTTTTTTCTAAAAATACAGTTCTGTCTCTAAAATACGTGTATTTTAGTTTTTGCCTGTTCGAGTCACTTCACTGCGTTATGTTGTTTTTTGAATAGTAGAGCTGCTGAGATCCCCCTAATAGAGTGAATTATTCCAGCAGAGCCACCAGGAAAGCTAATGTAGCGCTCAGGACAGGAAAAAAACAAGCGTCGTTAGAAATGCTCTGTAAGTGCAACTGGAAGTTTACAGGCAAGGTGAATGGTTAGGTTATTCTGTAGCTAATTCTCAGATATATGCTTTCCCAAAACAATTGCCGTTTTCAAGCTTCTGTGTCGCCTTCAGCTACATTTCTACAAAATGTTTGCTCCGAGCAGTCATACAATACATGAAGTGATTGAAATCAGTACATTACAACTGCTCGTAGCAGCTCGAATGCACACTCGGCCGATCTCTGACTTTTTCTACATTATTGTGAGGGAAGGATTAACAACTCTTCATGGGCAAAGGGCCCTGCAGTTGCACGGCACTTGTAGTCAAGGCAGTGTCTGCTGGTTTTCAGTGCAGCTTGGCTCTTAAAGAGGTAGACCAGCTGATCACTGACTCAACTGGACCAATTTAACAGCTTCTTCCAGCTCTTCAGATGATACAGCTTTCAAGAGACCTAGAACAGCGGAAGAGACAAAGGAGTCCTAGAACCACGATCTTTTTTTAAGGTTATTTTTCTATTAGTAACTGATTAGAGTCAAAAGGGATTTGCCCCTTTAACCAAATAGCTCATTTTAAGATGGAGATGGAGAGACAGCCACAGAATCTGTAGGCCCTCAGGACCTGGAGTTAATGGTTCATCTGCACTGACACTTCTGCAGCGTTGATGCCAAGATATTGTTAGGGATGGACGTAGCCTTTATACATGGAGAACTACGTAAACCTTTGGTCCTTTTGACAGGAAATGTCACAGAATCTTTTACTCGTGACAACCCGCCATACTCCCACATCCTATATAGAGGACAGGAAGGCCATTTAGTGCAAACTGCACTGTTGTCCCGAACATGAAATCACTGGGGCAACAACTGCCATAGCAGAGTTGGTGAGGTGTGGGTTAATATCCTGAGGTACGTCTGGTGCGGTACATTCATACTACACCATGTGCACACACCCAGTCTTTGATAAATACTGTAACTAAGAGTCACTTAGTTACAGACCTAATTCAGGCCATCTGCCCAGTAATGGGCTTTGGTGTGCTGTTTCTGTTTTGTTCTTCTTTAAGCAGGCTTACATACATTAGTCAGAGATGAAGCACAGGCACGCTGTTGTCTTTGCTTCAGCTCAGAACAGATCTTTCACAGCCCCATTCATCGCAGGAGTGGTCCTTCTGGTGTTTTTTGTTTGACAAAAAAAAACAAATCTTTAAACAAAACACTGAAGTTCTGCAGCTGGGTATCCTGTGTGTGACATCACCTTTCTCTGCCAGTTCTGTTGGGAAGTGTAATTGGGATTGTTTGTTTTTTAAAATGTATTTTTTAGGATTACACAAAGGTGTTTTATGCTAGACAAATGCAAAGTTTCAGCAAATGTACATGTTTTGCAAAAATCCCAGCTCAGATATTTGTGTGCCTGCAATTCTGGAGGATTCTGACTTCAAATATTAGGCCTCAAGTAAGTAAAATATTTTAATGCTATTTGTTACATAAAAAAATAACATTTGAGTAATACGGAGATGTAAATCAAATGTGAGATCTTGCAAAAAAAGGTACATACAAACATTTTGTGAGTTAAACTTTTGTGACCATGTATTTTATGTACTTTATGTAAATATCCATTACCTTTGCTTTCTCCCTTTCTTTCTCGCACCTGAAGAAGGCTCCATGGCCGAAACGTTGTTTTCTTTCTTCTCTTTTCAGCTTGGAATAAACCTGTCACTTGTTCCTTTGCAGCCTGCGCCTGCTGACGCAGCTCCCCACCCGAACTACTTCAATATCCATAGAAACAAATGGGGATTCAAATGCCTAAATGCTTTGCATACAAGGCCCAGAATGTACTAATCAAAGAGAGAAGTTGAATTTGCGCTGTATAAGAAGGGTAGATTTTTAAATAGAGTCCAATATAACATCCATCTATAAACAGCTATATGTTTTTAAATATAATGACTTTCTTGAAGTCATCATTTTCAGAAGATACTCAGACAGGGATAGCTACATGCTAGAGTGTGCATCACTCTTTTCATGTGTTCAGTCAGCCATGCGTACGTAACAGGTGGCTTATCCTCTCATGATGCACATGGCACTAGATCAGAAGGAAACCCTGGAATGAGTCACTGTGTGGATTGTGTAGTGGGGGAGTGGTAACTCGGTATCCATACTCTCACCATGCAGATGATATGATCTTAATCAGGATTCAGCCACTGTCAGAAATACAAGACCTATCACTGTTTCAAAAAACTTCCCTACTTAGAAAATACAACATCTGTGTATTTTCTTGGGTGTCTAAGGATTCCTTTCTTTGGTTGGTTGGGTGGTTGATGCCGTTTTATTTTATGTCATTATCATAACACTTAAAGTGCGACAGATGTGGCTGGTTTGCAAAAGTGATGATGAACCTGCTTCCTGTATTTTATTGTGTGTGAAATTCGGCGTCCTGCTGGAGAACACACATCATCTCTTGACTGCTACTGGCTCCACTGTCTGAGCGGCCATCGCAGTGGTTTGAAAAACTATTCGGAGCCTTGCACAGTTTTCGCATTCTGTTGGTTTCAAACAACTTTCCAATGAGCCATGCAGTTGGTTATGTGGCCTTTGTCTATGCGCCATAATTGTGGTTCCCATAATTTCGGAATAAATACACCTATCTCTGTCAGGTAGTACATTTCAAACAGATATTCAAAATATATTTGGAATACTATATCTTGAAAATAGTTATATTTTGAATATCATCATATATTCAAAAGACATATCAAAACACCTCCAGGATAAAGCTGTATAGGAAGGTGTACAAATACTGACTTTTCAGGAAAATTACCAAAGCAAAAATGAGAAGGATATGTACCGTATGAATTGAGTTTTTAAGGCTGTATTTCTTTTAAATGTGGTATAACAATGAAGATCCCTCTCCGTCAGGAACAGCAAGGTTTTCTGTAAGAGACCTGTGACGCATTCAGTCTGTTTACTTGCGCAAAAACCAGGCACCCAAGACGGGGGCCCATAGATCCAACGAGAAGAGGCAAACAGCTCGGAGAATATCGCCTCTATGTTTCAATTTATATTTGTCATCGTAAATGTGAATTAAGCAGAATGGAATTCCCACTTTTATTACGAAATGAATTAAAATAGAGGCTCTATTTTCCGTTTGTTTGGTGTAGCTCATTATCAATGCGCCCTTTCATTCCCCAGCTCACATGAACCGCTTGTCATCTGAAGGTCATCCCCGAGCGCGTGTTTGGCAGTGCGCCCGGCTTGTCGGCGGAGTGGTGGTGTGGCCCTGGGGCCGTGGGGGCTGCTCCTGATGGTGCCGACTGCTTGCAGGCTCAGGCTCGGCCCCGGAGAGAGCTCGGAGGAGGACGGGGGTGTCCGGCCCGCGGCTCGGGTCCTGCAGGGCGGGATGGAGGCCACTGCGGCCCCGGCCGCCGCCGCCCCCGCCAGCCCCTCGCAGCTCTGGAGACTGTCGGGGCGCCGGAGCCGCAAAGCTGCCTCCCCCGACATCTTCAGGGGCGTCCACCTGCGGCAGCTGCAGCGCCTGTTCCGGCGGTCAGGGGACCAGCAGGCCGAGCAGCGGGCGCAGCTGGTGTGGGGGCGCAGCGACGCGGCGGGACTGGCGCAGGCGCTCACCAGGCTGAGAGGGAGGAGCCGCAGGAGCAAGCGGGGGCCCGAGGGGGCTCTGGGGCCTAAGTGGCTCCACGCCTTTGGGCATCTGAGGTAAGGCAGCCCCGGTCCCCCTCTAAGTCGCTGATTCCACCACATTTCCTTTCTCTTTCACCACTGTGGCAAACCACTTCTCATCAGCTTGACGTTGCTGGTGTAGAAGAAGACGGGAAAACACAGGGCTATTATAGCTGTTACGGGGTCAGGGAAAAGGCAGCAGAAGCTGATTTTTTTTTTTAAGCAGCTGTGGCATTTAGTTCTTCAGAGCAAAGCGCTAAGAAAATGAGCTAATCCTGTTTCCAGAACTGTAATTCACGGATACTGGAGGATCTCTTGTTCTTGGGTGATTACTGGGGTGTGGTGCAGAATGGGCAATGCAGCTAGACAAGGTCACTTTTGTTCAGTGGTTTGACTGCAGAGCTGGACTGAAATGCCATGATGGTATAATTGGTTTAATTATTGGTTATAGGAACGCCACTGGGAGATGTAGCATTAAACGTTGCAAGAGATTCTTGTAGAGTGTTGGCAGGGGAAGTGTTTTATTTTAAGAAAGGTTAGACTTTTTCTAAAGCTGTATGAAGTAACCCTTTCTTGTGTTAGTGGGAGAGGAATACTCTTGCAGAAATACGACAAATTCAGAATACAAAATCTGCCCTTCTCTTCCCCTACACTTTTTTTTTTTAACTTAAAACCCCTTTCGTAAAGAGCAATGCATGATCTTCTCTCCCCAGAATCAATGAAGATCCTGCAGGGAGGGCCACTGAAGATGATGTGGGAGAATCGGAGACTGAGTTGACAAGCTCCAGCTGCACAGACACAACTGCAGACTTGTCCTCTGCTGGCCAGAAGGACAAGCCGCCTGCTGACAGGCACTTGGGTTTGGAGAGGCAGCAGACAGCCAGCCTTCTCAGAAACAGGGGTGGTGCTGTCAAGCAGGAAGCCAAACGAGACCCTGAGAGATACCTCCATCGCATCTTATACTGACAGCTGATGTCTCTGTCACAACACACAGTGGCTGCAGGTGAGATTGTATGGGACATCAGCCATGTGATGTTCATTGAGGTCAGAGGCAAAGAACGGCATTCTCTACATCTGGACTGAAAACCAATGACAGAATAAAATCTTAAAATCACTTCTTCTATCCTCAGATGATCTCAGAAAATGAGCCTCTTTTTTTAACAATGTGTCATGTAAGGGAAGGTTCGGATGGAATGTAAACACTATACATTTGAATTGTTCTGTACTTAAAGTTAAAATTAATGACAATTTAGAAAAGGTGATGTTTTATACCAGTTAGTGTAACACTACAGTTTTGCTTTATTTTCAATTTCTTGGTTCAGTGACATTCAGTAAATTTCCCAATTATAAAATATAGTACAATACTTGTCTCACTAATAGATTGTACACCAAATAACTTATGTTTAGCTGTTGTAACCAATTTAATTAAGAAATGCGAGCCAGATATTAATACAGGCTTTTTGACTTGTATCCTGTTATATAGCTGCTTGTTTGGAGCTTTTTTTCTGCTCAAACATTGAAGATCTTGTGTTTCTTATGAAACGATATACAGTATTTAAAATGCACCTCTTACATGTTCTACTCCACTTCTACAGTGAAGACGTTTCCCTGTCAGCTCTCATTTCAACCAAAGGATAATGTCACTTGAATCGGAGAAATAACCTCGTACTTGAAATTGAAATACAGAACTGTTCATATATCATATTGATTTTTTTATTTAAGTATGTAGTGGACAGTGTTTTGCAATAAAAACCTATTAAACCATATAGAATAAATTAGTTTTGTTACTATATGTGCAAAACACAGTTCTCTTTGCACCACTAGCATTTTGGGAATGTTGCTTGCTTCGTTAGTGTTTATTTACACTTTTCATGAATTGCATTATGTCAAATGGTTACCATAAGCTGACTCTCAATTTGTATCTTGTAGCAAAAAAATCAGAGATGATAGAAATTGTTGTTTTCTAATTTTTGTAACTATCCTAATGCATACATCTTCAACTGTAGTGTTAAAAGTGTGTGTTGCCACGTCAACCGATGAGGTCAGAGAATAAAATGAACTCTGCTGCGCCATCTGGTGGACAGAAAAGATTTTGGCAAAACCCTGTTTCTGGGTGGCTTTCTTGATATTTGCGTTTTCCAATTCAGGGTCAAAGGTGGCGCCAAAGCCTATCCCAGCAAGCAACAGGCAAAAGCAGGATACACCCTAGACAGGAAACTGCTCCACTGCAGGGCAGACAGACCCAAGCACAAACACACTCACACTCGAAACCAGGGCCGGTTTTTCCAGAAGCAAATTAACCAGCCAGTATGTTTTTTTGGACTTCGGGGGCAATCTCACACAAACAAAGGGAGAACACATATACAGTATCTCGGCAAAGTATATATACAGTATATATTATAAGTATATTTTCCAAATGTCTTTGGAAACCTTTCAGTTCCCTTCCTTGTTGTATGATTGTGTTTGAAGACTTCTAAAAGTTCATGAAAAATATTTTTTTTTTCCATCATTGAACACTGTTTAAAGAAACAAGCATGGAAAGAATCTCGACATTAACCTTGCTCAGTTCAGGACATCAGAAAGTGAAGGCAGTCTTCCAACATGGCGCATACTGCACATGCCTTTCTGTACAGAGAATGCTATCCAAATTAATGCTATAATTTAGCACTTCAAAATCATTGTCATAAAGACGCTACATTCTCTTGAGGTTGACCTGAAGAATTTCTAAGGCTGGGTTTTTGCCTTGGTTGACAAAGATTGTGGTCAGATAAGCCCCTAGGGCAGAACTTCATATTTAAGATGCATATTCCAAATCCCAGCAGATTTCACAAGTCATTTTCACCGCAACCCAGATATAGTTGAAGATAAGATGGCGGAATAATGGAATATGATTTATTTCTGTTATAAGCATTTTCTTTCATTAAATAGTTTACATACAAATTATACAGTGCATTGTCAGAACAATACATTTCAGGTCAGTTTGGTAGCTACAGCAGTAAATGTTTGTCAAAACAATAAACAAGGTATCTCAAGCTGTTAAAAAGGAAAAAAAAAAAGCAACATGGGACTTTTATTTCTGGACCAGGTGAGGGTAGCTGCACTCTTCCCCAAGGCTCCTGTGCATTGGGCTGGGTCTCTTCCCTGCTCCGCTAATGTTGAACAAAGGTCTCCTTGTTCCCAGAAATGTCTGATGCACGCACGTGCTGCGGGCAACTCTCCACGGTATCCAGGACGTAGAATAGAGCGCAAGACATGCCGGAATCTCAGAGCCGCACAGCAATTTCTTCTCATCCGAGATGTCGAGTCAAGTTCCCGCCGGTGGGAACCCAGTGCAACACTGAGCACTGGATAACAGAGGTGCAGGATTAAGCCGAGCAAAATGGCAGGCAGCCGCTGGTGCAGCACGATGGGTACGTCACGGCGAGGGGGGGGGTGACAAGCCGGGTCACCCTGAAAAGAGCCTCTCCTGTAAGACGTCCCTCTCCTCCCACCCTTCGGGCTCAGCTAGTGCGGGGGAGCTTCAGCGCAGGAACTCTCCTGGTGTTGCTCTGAATCTGGAATTCTTGACCTAACTAAGCGCAGCTCCGATTTCCTCCCGCTGAACTCGGGCAGTCAATAAATAGTCAAAATACCTGCCAGAGGAGCAGGACTTCCTTTGTGTTTGGCAGGAGAAAGTAATTGGCGACAGACCCCGTGTGAAAACACAACAGCAGTCCTTTACTTTTAAAGCAATACAGGATGGCAAAGAACAATGTACGGGATTGCTGAAGATAAGCCACAGCATTTGACTTTTTTTTGAAGAAGAAGAAGAAGATTACAAGTTTATGCTGATGTGCCCTGATGACTTGCTTCTGCTTTGGTTTTTAAAACTGCAGGGGTTATACTGCGCTCACTGACTTAAGCTGCGTACCCATGATCTGCTGTAAACATGAGACACCTAAAGAAACAGGTGATCGGGCAGTTCTCGTCAAGCAAAGTTAAATTATTTTTATTACATAAAATCCTTTCTGAAAAGCTAATAAAAGTTTTTTTTTTTACCATCTTTCTGGATACTGTACTAATGTTATCCAACGAAATGCTTTTCTCAATTCTTCCCCAGCTAGCTTTATTTTGGAAGAATCAAAACATTTCAGTGATAAACTGAAATTCAAAAACCACTGAATGCAAAAAGAGGAGTGATAAAACTATAATGTCCATGATTTTGACTACGTTTACCAAGTCATCTAGCATTTAAAGAATGTCACTTTTGAATCCGATTTCCAGTAGTGCATACAGTAGATCACCACGGACTTCAATTCCACTTCATAACAGTTGTTTCATGCAAGTCTGCTAAATATTAGCACGCTCCGTGGATTTGTATGTCAGATATGAGTGAGGAGAGTTCATAGACTGCACAGATTTGCCAGTGTGTTGTCCAGTTGTCCACTTAGTTAAATTAAGTGAAGATGAATGTTTTAACTAAAACTGTTTTGCAAATGACTCTGATCAAAATTGATAAATAAAACCTGAAAATGTGAAGAATTACTTTCTCCTTTTACATCTGGCCAAAACATACCAAGTGATCAATAAAAAGGTTAGCACTTGTTCCTCCATTTTACATGCCTATTTCCCACGGTCAGCATTAATACCCCTCCTAGGACAAAACCCTTCAATATCGCTTTGATGCAGCTATAACAATAACCCCAATTAGTATCTCAGACAAATGAAAGTTTGTGATTTGCAATTTTCTTTTTTTTCCCCACAATAATGAAGCAGTAAATACCACTTATGGAAGCGTCTGAGAGGGGTTAAAAAAAACATAACAGAAGCCGAGCTCAGACTGATTGCCAACAATAGGAATCCAGACACAGATCTAGGAACGGAAGAACTCCACAGTGAACAGTGGTACTCATTAAGTTACTGAAACATTAGTATTAATGATAGATGTCTTAAGACAGGGGCTGCCAATACAGGTCCACAGCTCTAGATGCCTCCAGTGTAACAGACATGAGCACTGGCAGCCAATGTCTTGGTTAATTTGCTAGATTTGCTAAGCACTTATTTGTGTTCAATAAACACAGATAAGGCATCACTGCCATACAAATCTAATTTAGCAAACAACATCTTTGACACTTTGGCAAGCTAATGAATAACACTGTTGGCTGTGGGAGGTGTTGGCCCCCTCTGGGACTGTAGGCAGTGGAACCCTCCATTGGGAGAGAGGCATCGGAGGGTCTGTGCTCTGTAGCAGCTCATGTTAGTCAAAGACTGAAAGATGAAGAGTCTGTACAGCAAAGCGGAGGAGGAATCGGGAGCCTGCGCTAACGAAGCAGCCTTTGAGTAAGGGCAAGTACGTCTTCTTCTCTTTCCAGGTTGCATTTGTTCTCACTGTCAAGCCTAGGATCCGGAGTAAAAGCCCCCTTGCAGACTCACTGCCAGTCCGCCTGAACATCTCCCCCCCTCCCCCACCACCCCAGGAGTCTGCAGCGGTCGCAGGCTGAGAAGACCACAGCTCCCCTCTCTTTCTGAGTCATCCCTGCACACTGGTCTCCCCCCTCCCCAGAATTCACCAGTTCGCCAGCCCGGCCGGCTCGTCCCCCGGGAATGGAACCGGGCCCTGCTGAGCAACAGGCCAACGTCAAGGCCGACGGGAGGGAAGGGGGTGGGCGAGAGCACTGGAGCAGCTGACCCCGCCGGGAAAATATCCGCTTGCAGCGCCGCCGTTTTCTTCCTCCCTCTTTCCCAGAGGCAGTCAAAGGCACGACGGGAGGAAGGCAGAGAGGCTATGGCAGTTCGGGAGGCGTCCTGGAGAGACACTCCGGCGAGGGCGGGAGAGGCGCGCCCCGGGCCCCCCCTCCTCGTCTCGCCCCCCTCCCCCCCAGCTCTACCACCACGTGAAGAAGGGTCGACGACTCTGGAAGCTCTGCGTGTACGACTCGCTGTTGGCGCGCTGCGGGGCCCGGGCGGTCTCCACGATGACGGGGGGCATCTGCACCAGCTGCAGGGGTGTCTTCCCGTCCTTCATGGCCTGGCACAGATTCAGGATCTGAAACACAGGGGCACGGTACTGAAGCTGACCAGGCTCTCGCAGCGCCAGGCTATCCAGGCCACGAACACCAGACCGAATCCGCTGTGGCTTTCAGAAGCGCGAACCGATCCTTCTTTCTAGCGGAATACCACGAGTGTGCAGGCACTGCGAGACGCTCAGCGGCTCACGGGTTCCCCCGTTTCTTACCTGGCCCCTCATCACTGCAATCTGCTTTTGGAACTGACCCCTGTCAAAGCCCGGGTCTTTCTGGGAAAACAAAACAAAATTAATAAATACCAGCCGGAGCAGGCCCTGCCTTGCTGACAGCATTAAAATCACCGGGGGATCCATTACACATGGGGAAAGGAAATGGCATAAAACTTCTCTGTTGCAGAAACAGCCCCAGTAAAAATCAAGAATCCTCTCTCTTTTTACCTTAAACAGTTCATATAGATCCTCCTCAAGGTCCTTGACGAAGTTCGGGTCCGAAATTTTGGGCAAAACGTGGTCCTTAATCTCTTGGGAGAAGGGGACTTTGGCCTGCGCAAGCCAGGCCCAGTAGAAGGGGTCTGCGAGGAAGAGTGAGACGATACAAGCGCTGACTGTCTGGGAAGAACTAGCACCTTTGCCCTTGCAGCAAGTCTGCCTGGTCCCTCCCCCCCACATTTCAGATTTTCTGCAATGCACAAGAATTCAACTGTGGCCACAGTCATCTGCAATGACACCATGGGGTGTTTCACCCCTGTACAGACTCTTCTCCCTTCCATCCTGATTGTAACCAGGAAACTTACTGACTCCCTTAAAGCGCAGCTGACACGAGTGGTGCATACGTGTGTACTGAGAAATGTACTCTGATCTGAACCAGGTCAGATTCAAAGGTAAAAGGCTGGAAAAGATTGTGGGTACCTGGGATCGTTCACACTTCATTCTGCCACTGCACACTGCATGCGTGCTTCAGTCGCAGGATGTACTGTGATTATAGTCACGACACAGTGTCCTGGGGATGTAAACTGAGAAGACAAGGGAAAGGCTGCACCGAGCAGGCAGTGCTGTACTCACAGGCTCTCCAGGAGTCCGGGTGTTTGAGCGGAAAAGCTAAGCCATTGTCTATAGCAGCAATCTTGATGATGGGCTCTTTCACAACTACCCAGTCGGCATCCTGCCACAACAAGAACAAAACAGAAACATTACAAACAAAGGCCATCTACCTTGTTCAGTTTCTAGTATCTAACTGAACTAGGAATCTCACCCAGCCTGTTCTTGAAGGAAGCTGTGGTTTCTGCCTTAGTATGATGGGGCTGTCTTTTCTAAACAAATGTGCACCTTTGGACCCTGAATTTAAATTGCTGCAATAAGCACATCTCTGAACATCCAAACCACACGGTCTTGACAAACACACACAGAACCACAGAGCCGGTCTCTGTCCACTTGCAATGATGCAAATTTGACAAAACCTTTCACACAAGAACATCATAACCATAGTCTTTGCCAATTTTACCAAACAACTGACTTGTTAAGCAGGAAGGAAGAGAGATGCAATATATATATATATTTTTACATGAGTATCAGCTAAGCTTTTCAAGTGTAGTGGATAGGCCAGTGTCAACACCAAAACCCAGAAATCAGTGAAGAAAAGGGTACACTGGGGATTCGGTTTACTAAAATGCCATTAAGAACAAGGGGTCAGGACAGATGGGTGTGCAACCGTGTCTTTGAATCACATGCCAGTTCCTGCAAAAGTGGGTTTGTCCTCACACCCTCACACCTTCAGAGACCTTAGCAAACCTGCCTGCTCACCCTGGAGTTCCCCGTGTCCATCGGGCAGTCGTACTTGATCAGCCAGTTGTCATTGCCTCTGTCTGAGGGTGAGAAACAACAGCAGACATGGAGAGAGACAGAGGAAGACACACTGCTATCAGTTACATGATGGACCGATTCCTCTGGACAGCGTAAGCAGAGCCTGTTTCGGTACAGTTTACTGGTATGCTTTAAGATGTGTTTAAAGTGCAGTACGCTACAGTTCAGACCTACCTATTCAGCTTCAATTTGAGTCCTGAAACAGGCCTCTACTGTGTATAATTACAAAGTTAAGGGGACATCATTCAAGGTGGAAATATCCTCTGGAGGTCTGAGACAGATGGGAGTACTATCAGGTGAAGAATGAATGCGGTATTCTTTTTCCCTGATTGGAATCTGCTTAGGTTCTGAGAAATTTACATAATACTCCAGGAGCTCATGTGGTCAATAAAAGTGTCCTAACTCCGAGCACTTTCTGTAGCGTGTTTAGCACAATCATTCTGGGGGTGGGAGAAGACATGAAACATCCTTCGAGGTCACGCTGCTCATGATGGCAAATCTGAAATACGAGAATTCTATTTCACCTCAAGTTTATGTGCAAGTTGTCTTTCGTAAACTTTTCTCTGGTTTCACCAAACCCTAGGTTTTTTTTATTTATTTTAAAAGTCAAACCTACTTGAGAACGATCTTAAATTGTTTGCCACTTTACTGAACCGAGCGGTGATGAAGTGTGTTAGTGCAGTTTTACCGGATGCCCAGCAGATGGCGCTCCAAGCCCTACCTGTGTTCCTGATGATGTAATCCAACACCACCAGCCTCTCAAACTGAAGCTGCAGCTGGCGGTTCGTGTTCTCTGGCAGAGGTTCCGCCTCAAAACGCCGTAGCCAGTAGTCTGCATCTTTGTACCCTTCAACAAATAACTGGAATGATCCCACCTGTGGAAAAATAGGCAGAATTTAAAACTAGAATCTTTTCTTTAAGTTTCAAAATGAAACATTTACAAGAAAGCAAGAGCAAGGAGCTCAGTAATAACAATAACAATTACAATAACAATAATAATAATAATTGCTTACACTTATATAGCGCTTTTCTGGACACTCCACTCAAAGTGCTTTACAGGTAATGGGGACTCCCCTCCACCACCACCAGTGTGCAGCCCCACCTGGATGATGTGACGGCAGCCATAGTGCGCCAGAACGCTCCCCACACATCAGCTCTCAGTGGGGAGGAGAGCAGAGTAATGAAGCCAATTCAGAGATGGGGATTATTAGGAGGCCATGATTGGTAAGGGCCAATGGGAAATTTGGCTAGGACGTCAGGGTTACAACCCTTCTCTTTTCAAGAAACGCCCTGGGATTTTTAATGACCACAGAGAGTCAGGACCTCTGTTTTACGTCTCATCCGAAGGACGGCGTCTTTTTACAGTACAGTGTCCCCGTCACTATACTGGAGCATTAGGACCCACATGGACCGCAGGGTGAGCACCCCCTGCTGGCCCCACTAACACCTCTTCCAGCAGCAACCTTAGTTTTTCCCAGGAGGTCTCCCATCCAGGTACTGACCAGGCTCACACCTGGGGCTGCCAGTTGCGAGTTGCAGGGCGACATGGCTGCTGGCCGGATCGGGGCGCTCACCTTAGGGGGAAGTCCTATTCTGTGGAACCGCTGGCCCACACGTGGCACTTTCTCCAGGGCCAGCCTCTTGCCCCGCGACTTGACGCGGTCGATGGCACTGTAATTGAAGGTTTCGCTAGCCAGGTGCACCACCTATAGGACAGAGAGAGCAGGAGGTGAGGGGTGGTGGGGGACCTTCTGAAGGTGGAAGAGTGATGTGTGTGCTTGCAGGTCTGTCTGTGTGTGTGGAGATGAGCCTATCACGACCCTGAACGAACCAATATGATTTGTTCTCCACTGCATGAGCTGTCTCCTTCACCACCCACAACCCCACACCCACTGTGTGCCGATTTTGACTTGTGTTTAAAACTCTTATCTCTATAACTTGTAAAGTTATGAAGAAGCACACCCTTTACCTGTATTCTACTGATGTATCTCAGTAAACTACTGATGTACAGTAATAATGAATACTTAACTTTGTATGACAAATTGCAAAGCCAATTAATATGGTATAATATGGTATTAGAAGGTCAAAGTTTTATCCTGTTTAGACTCTTCATCATTTCAATACATTCAATACCTTGTGAGATGAGAATGAATTAGTGATCCACAGTGTGTTCCTGCAATGCCTATGGACAGTACCTTGGTCCTGGGGACAATGTCGAGCTCCAGCTTGTGGTCCACCAGGCTGGCTCCGGCCTCAGACATGTACCCCTGATTCAGCACCAGGCAGTCTCTGCCAAAGCAGCACGGGCAGCACAGCTTCTGGAGCCACTTGGTCCACTTTGGGTTCAGCTGCCCGTATGGCTCCTCGTTCTTGGGCTTGAACACACCGATTATCTTCTGCAGGCAGAGACAGGACCGCATCAGCGAAAGACTGACGAAATTCACCTTAGACATTTCCAAACGCGTGGGCAGCTGCCACGACCCAAGACCAAATGATCACAACAAACACTGGATAGAATTATATTCATGACTGGGATTTGTAACTAGTTCACCTCCCAGCTGCTTTCTGATAAGTAATGGCATTTAAGCTTTACCGATTTCTCTCATCTATGAAAGTTCTTTTTTTTATTAAGCAATTCAAAAAGAAACATTTGTTACCACATCCTTTACTCGGCTAGCTCTGAGCACAGGACTGGTTTAGGGAACTGATGAATCCACAGATGAGAAGGGAGGTGAACCATCTCATGACTTAATCAAGCATCATGCTGAAATATGCAGGATGTGCCCCCCCCCAAGCATCAGAAAGACAGTTCTATGTGGGCATGAATGAAGGGGAATTGGAAAGGCCTGCAACTCATTACGGCAATGAGATTAACTCAAGTTTCCTCACATGACCAGCTATGAAATTCCTTCTTGCTCACCCAGGACAGACTTCTGCTTTGTCATGTATCCTAGCTGCCACACTGGCCATTATAGTGGCCAGTAACATACTGAAGAATCCCTTTTTTATCTTCAGGCAAACAAAAACACATAATAATAAATAACAATAATAAACTTTATTTATAGAGCACCCTTCATACAAATACCAGCTCAAAGTGCTTTACAAACCAAGCATAAAATCACAATAAGACATCAGGACAAAAGGTCATAAAGTACCCCTGATACTTTAGTAGCACCTGCAGTAATATCTTAGACCTGTTATATAAAACAGAATGACCCAATGTACCCCACTCCTACCATCAGTCAGTTCAATTCATTGGGGGTAAGGTATTTCACATTATGCTGTCATTGTGCTAAAAAGTATTATAAGAGGGATGAGACTCCAGCTGAATTTAACTACTATTTTCACTTTTCTGACACCACGTACAGGAATCTACTACAACACTGCACAAAAGACTGACAAAAACATCATTAATGTATTCCGTATTCTTCCAACACATCCACACGAGAATAGATTAGTACAAATCTTTGAGAAAAGTATTTTGGAGCTATCTGCATTACAACGGAAATGTTCAGTGACACTTTGCAAACGTCATCTTCCTTAGATTATAAACACGTGACAACTTAAGTGACAGATCTCTTACAAAATTAAGGAAAGCAAGTCATGCATGTCTCTGAAACCCTAGTCAGCCTGTGGCACATCTCAGGAGCATGTGAGCAACGTCAAACATTCCCTAACCGCTGTAGCCTAACCCCGTCTGCTGTCTGCTCCTTTAAGGTATTTTACAGGCGTGTGTTAAGTCTGGAGAACTCAGGCATGCCAAGTCATTGATGCTTCAAAGTCTTCTTAGACATTCCTCTGCTGACCCCCTGAATATCAAGCTGATTGGTTCTAAGGGAGATTTTTCATTCACACACAAACACTTTTTTTCCTCTCTTCGTTTACAAAGCTCTGTGTTGTGCTCACATGGCATTTCGTTCTCCATACTTTCCAAGCCATGAAACGGTCTGTTGCTGCTGTTACCAAATTAATTTCCATGCCTAACCTTGGCTTCCATGAGCTGTTAAAAAGAGAAAAGAGATTGGGAGTTGGCTCATTCGGCAGTGGCCCATTCCAATCAGACCTGGACTGGAAAGTCACACATTTGGTTGAATGGCCTCTGTGTGCAATAATAATGGTTCTCATGATTTCAGAACAAAAACACCTGGTTGTGCAGTTCCTTGGCCAGGTTGTAAAATGTCAGGCAAAGTCTTGACGATGAAAACTAAGATTGTTACGACTGGAAAAAATATCCCAAGTCTGTGAATATCCCTTGAAGCAGTCAAGCAGTCTACTCAGTCATCAAGAAATAGAAGGTGCATCGTTCTACCCAGACACTGCCTAGGTTAGGCCAGAAAGCTCATTTGGATTGAAGGAAAAATGGAACCTACAGACAAATACAAGAGGAAAACCTGTGTCAGTCTGCTAAAGACTTCAAACTGGGGCAAAAAAAAGCACTTTTGGATGAGGACAATGATCCAAAGCAGAAAGCTACACTGCAATGGCTTAATAATCAGGAAATGAAAGTTCTTGAGTGGTGCAACCGAGGTGCTCATTTGATTACTACTGAGAATCTGTGGAAAGACTCGAAAACTGCTATAAGCAATTCCCAAACAACTTGCCTGAGCAAATGTGGCAAGAAGAATGGCAAGAAGAATGGGCAAAACTTCACCAGGCCAGTTGCACCTTCGGGTTTTGAATGAAATATTACTTTAGAAAACGTGTGATTTTGTGATTTCACAAAGCAGGGTGACATAGGAAGGGTCTGAAAACTGTTCCAAAGCTTGGTACAGGATCACAGTGAATCTGAGCCCAGCCTGCAGCAGGAGTGAGGCTGGCTACACCTTGGACTGGACACCAGTCTATCGTGAGGACACTCGCACAGTTATACAGGGACAATAATCTTCACTGCTCATCGCTGCACCAGGACAGGAAACCAGAGCACAGGGCGAGAACCACAGGGACTGCATACATGCTTAATCAGATGAGCAGGGCAGCCGGCGGGACAAACTTCTTCGCAGCTTCTGTGCTGCAGGTCTGAACACACTACATATTCTCAAAGGGAGCTCTAGCTCAGACGTACGATTTTTCATATGAATGAAATCCTCGTTTAGAGGACCAAAACTTTCTCTCTCACCTTCCACAAGATAACCCCCCCTCTATCACAAAATAAGATGAAAAGCCCCGCTAGAAAATGCAAGTCACCCAGCCTTTTTGAAACAGCTGTAGAAGAGCTACTCACTCAACACCCCCTGCACGTCTGAACACATTCTGCTTCACACTATTCATTTTTTTTTTCAATTTCATGTGTATTTTAATGGCAAAAATAAAATTAAGAGATTTTTAATGCGTTTTTGAACATTTAGAAAGAGGTCGTGATGAAATACGGTTTCTTATTTTCTTTGGCCTTGTGCGTCTTAGAAAATAAAATGAAAATACGATTCTTAATGACGTATTCCACGGCTCTATGTAAATGTATTTATCAATGCACATTAGTTACGTTCGTATTAATCTCTGTTCTTCACAGCCTGAGGGTAGGAACTGAGGAAGAATCCTGGTCGACAGAAGTTGAGGAGGCAACACGAACGTGGAAATTGGAGCGAGTGCGTCTCGACGATTCACCGGACTCGTCCCTTCGCCGCACTGCGCATGACAAACTCGCCGCCGCTTCTGCAATCCCACAACCCATGACATTAATCTACGGAGCTCGCTTCCCTGTCCGTGTGTGCTGGTGAGGTGTTGTGCAAGCACGACTGCCCCTGGCCGTGGTCGTTTAAATCCCGAGCGACACACAGGTGTCACATGTCAAAGTGCTATTGCAAAACGGAAAACATGTCAGTCGTACAACTACTGACCTGGCAGGTGCCATGTTAGCGTCTCTGCAGCTCTGATGAGGAAAGGATTTTCAGATCATTATCGGGATCTAGAGATTCACAGCTCTGCTGCAACGAACGGGGAGACACTGGTTGTTTTCTTACCTTGTTTTGACTACATCACCTCCAGTTTTTCCAGTGTAAGAACCATTCTGAAATGCCCCGTGTGCTCACCTGCTGTTGCAATCAGACTTTACGATGATCACAACGCATCTCTCCACAACACGTAACGCCTTTGCGCCCTTCTCAAAGAAAGGCAGCCTGTATTACACTGATAAACACCGTGTACATATTATCTACACGTCACTGCTTAATGTTAATTGAGAAGTCTCACCCCCTGTGAATCTTTCACGAAATAGCTTCCACTGGATCCTTGGTAAATTCTTTCTGGGTAAATCCCTTCTTCGATAGCCCGTTCTGCTTTTCGGATGATTTCCCTGAACTCCGGATCCTCCGGGAACTCGTTCCTGTAAGGGTCCCGGGGAGAGTATCCTCGGTCTCGCTCGAGCAAGGGCTGTCTCTCCCGGCTCCGTCCGGGGCTCCCCGCTGGTACCCGCACAACTGAACCCGGCGTAGCTCCAAACTCGGCCCGGGGACTCATAGGCTCTGTAGGGCAGTAGCTGAAATCGGGAGGATCCCGGAGTGGGGAGACCAGCGGGCTTGTCTCGTCCATATCGGAGGAAAAGGGCGGTAAGGTTTAACAGGAGACCCGGGCTTGGGGGGGCCAAAAAAAGTGGTGGCGAGGTTTTGCAGTCTCAGTCTCCAGTTCGGCCTGCTCTATGTTTTATCAATCGGGGCAGCTGACTGTCAGCTTCCGGGAAGCCCTCCCACACTGTGATCAGCCGCTTTGGCTGGAGACCCCGCCCACTATACGGAAACCCCTCCCCTTCGTGGGTACTGTGCACATTCCTATTGGACGCAAAATGTGAACTCCGCCTCCGCCTTTAAAGGACCGCCCAAGTGATGGCACAGTACACATTCCCATCCGACCACTCGGGAACTGCAATAGTTCTGTCAAATCGCAAGATTAGCTAATTTACGGGTACATCTTCCTCCGTGCTGGGCTGTCAACATGTATTGTTCTTATTACCCTGAGTGGCTTTATTTATTATATATGTTTTGACTGACATATAACGACCGAAGTTGTTCGCAGCTTAAAAATATATGTTATAGTAGTTCAGGTGGGTAGCTGCGTCAGCATGCGTAGGCTGCAAAGGAACAAGTTATAGGTTTATTCCATGCTGAAAAAAAGAAGAAAGAGAACACAACGTTTCGGCCGTGGAGCTGAAACGTTGTGTTCTCTTTCTTCTTTTTTTCAGCATGGAATAAACCTATAACTTGTTCCTTAAAAATATATGTAATTGTATATTAGTTAAAATACCAATAAAATCATTATTTATAGAATGCTTTATCCTACAAAAATGATAATGTGGTATGACGAGTGCAAGCTTCCTTAAACAAAATGTGTCTTGTTTGCGATTTGTATCATTACATTTGGCTTAAATGAACATTTCTTGAAGAAGCGTAGAGCTCCATTTAGAACATCATCATCTGAAACATGTCATTAGAACTACTTGTTATACTGTCCTGAACAGCAGGGAAGAAAGTTGATAATTTCTCTAAAAAAATGTAGCACAGGGAAAACGTTCTGATCCATTCTAACTTTATTGATCCCAGGAATCTCCTCCATCTGTTTCTTGGAATAAGCCAGGGTCTGTGGCTTTAACGACATGGCCAGGTAGCTTGGTCCACACTCCCACAACCCTCTGAGCAAAGATGTGCCTCCTGTTCTTTCTTTACCACTTCCTTCTGGTTCACGTTTCAACATGTGTCAACATGAACACATCAATGTTTTTGGTTACGTGTGAGTAGGGAGCTGCATCAGCTTGTGTAGGCTGCAATGGAACAGGTGAAGGTTCATTCTTTGCTGAACCTTTCAACGTGGAATGAACCTGTTTACATTACATTACCTGTTTCGTTTTCTTAAGTAGCCTCTTCTAGCTCAGCATTTTCGACTTTATCACTTTTGGTTTTACTACCTGCACCTGCATCCAAACGCCCGGAATTTGTTTACATTAAATGTCATTTGCCAGGGGTTGGCAAGTCTTGAATTGTATCTGAATCTTTTTGAATTTCATTTGCAGCATCGGCAGGGTTTGCTAATCTTCCTAATTCAGTATCACCTCTACTAACTTACTAACTACAGCAGAATCATTGACAGGCCCAACCCTTGACCTATAAACTGGTCACTACTCGTTGTGAATTTGCCTGGTTTGTACACCTACTTCTCCCTACACACCTATACTCACCTATCTACAGTATTAAAACCCATACAATGTGTTTTAATTTTGCTCTCTTCAGACATGTGCTAAGTTACTGGCTACAATAACAGCTATCTAACAATTCCTTATTAAATTAGAAAGGGCTTGGTTCTTCCTCTGTGTATACAGCAAGATGTCCCCTGAGCTGGCTTACTGAATGCCTTTAAGGATATTGAATAATTGAGTCAAATTCACACTTATTCGTAAACCATTAACATTCCTCAATATTATTATTTCTTCAGACCAGAATCCTCCTGGCTGCTCTTTTTAAACCAACATCTGCTATTAAAAAATGACATCTTATGTCTTATGTTAAGATGACAACAATCACGCTTTATCATATAGTGTTAAACCAACCCAGCAACAGGTCTAGCCAGGGTTAAAAAGGGACAATATATATTTTTTGGGACAAAAAGCGACAATATATATATATTTTTCTCTGGAATTTTAAATTTTACATTTCATATATTATAAAGTGCTTTTAATTGTAAAGGTTCACAAATGGCTTCAAATATTGGAGGGGACCCATTTCATCCACCACTGCCTGGGTTGAGCTGAGGTGAGGCTGCACAGGAGGAGTGAGAAATCTCTTCACTGAGGGAAACAAGGAAGACATTTAGGGAAAACAGACTCTACAAGCCCAGAGTGAGAGATATCTAAGTCATCAGGGGTCAGAACCCTACTCCTGCTCACACCCATGGGATCTTTAATGTCCCAGTGAACAGAACTCTGGTTTAATGCGCCCGCAGAAGATCAGCAGTATCTCCACTCACCAAACCGAGGCATCGGTTTCCTGACCAGATTGAAGGGCGCCATCTTCTGCTCCACCAGCACCTCTCCCACCTGTAACCTGGCTTACTTACTTACTCTCCCATTCCAACCAGACCCGGCCTCGCTGAGCTTCGGAGGGTCAGCCAGATCAGTATACACGCTGATAACACTGGTGCCATACGAGACGTGCTCGCGCCTCAGACTTAGCAAGTGAGACCCAGCAGAGGTGAGAAGCAGAAGTAGTAGTGTTGGCTTTTTTAGATAAGGATCATCACATAACATCCTTGAAAATGAGATGCGTTTACATAATACATAATACATAACACATAACATAATACATAACCATATGTATGTATGCACTATTTCTGAGTGCATACATATATATGGTTATGTATTACGAAGAATTTGAGAATAACCTTTGAGAAAATATACCCACAAAGACTGCCCCCCTCCGAACAGTGTAGCTATAGTAGGTCCTCTCAAATTAAAAAAAAAAATTGCGAACCAAATGGCATAGTCTTTTGCAGTTAATCAAGAAATTCACAAATATTTATTAGTGGTCTGTTTTCACCCTATGTGGTTGTAGTATGGTATAGCAAAAAAATAATCTGAAAAGGGTCAAAGGGACAAACACGGAAAAGCAAATGTATGCGATTGTGCTCTGTGAGGATGTGTATGTGTGCATGTCGGTGAAGCTTGTTGTAGCAACAGCCGTCTCTAGGGACCAGCGGTATACAGATTGGGTGGAAACAAACACCAAGCTGCTGCAGCCTCCTGTTAAACACGGCGGAGGGCGCAGGGATGTGAAATTCTGCGGTCGACAGCACCAGGAGACAGGCTGGCGCAGGTACCAGGCATGTTCCCTCTGTCGTAACAGCGCTAAGTTCATTGATTCAATTGCTGATGATCTTCCTCTATAAGAAAAGTCTCCCTTAATAAGGGTTGCTAAAAGGTAATGATATTTTGGATTTGTATTTCTTCTGACTGCCATTTTAATATGTATTTTAATGCATTAGTAAAGTCCGTATGCAGTTCACTTTTGTAATACCGATCAAAATGCTGTAGTAGTGTTATTATGGAGGTAGTTGTTATGATAAAGCTGCTGTCTTTGAGCGATGTTATACAAAGGAAATCAATACAGTGGAATTGTTTTGCAATTGTATTGAACTGACTCTGGGTGATACAGGCAATTTAATTCTAATCAACTGAATGTAGTTACGTATTTGTAAAATGTTTGTGGGGAAAAAAACATTTGTGAATGTGACGTAGATATCGTTTGTCTTACATGTCTAAATACATGGAGTAGTTTGTTTTGATATTATTTTCTGGGCGAATGCATACTGTATTGTGTTGAGTTAACCGATGAAAGCAGCGGGATGGTCAAGTTTCTGTCTCAATCTCATTCTGCTTTGGATCAGCCTGGGACAGCAATGGACTCGTCGCGCCAGCGTGAATCCCAGCTGGGTCCGGAAAACGGGACCATCTGGACCTTCTCCCCGTCCGGGCTGTCCCCCGTATCTGAACTGTCCGCCGGTCTGGGAGATCTGGACTGTCAGGACAGGTGCGAGAGCCGGGGAGGTACAGTAGTTGCAGAGTGCAATACACACCATTTAAACACGAAGTCTGTTTTATTTTCACTGACTAAAAATAGCATTTCCGAAATCTTAATACAGTATTAAATTGATGTCTGTCTTTTTAAAGCCAATAAAACGTCATATTTCTTGGCGTAACATGGGAATCTATTCAACTACGAATGTTATTTTTAAGCAAATCTTTGGAATTAATACGAATGTATTATTTTATTAATTCAGCACCACCCCTCGCCGAAGACTGTGGCAGTCCCCCGAGCAGCTGGGCTGCAGCCCGGCCCCACAGAGCGAGGTTTCCGCGGAGACGCAGACGCCGACAGGTTCGGACTCGCTGCTCGGGTTTAATTGGAAGCGTGGCTTCTTCTGTCTCAAATATCTGGTCATCTGTGTACGGTGACCACAGACACGACCACAGCACGACCACAGACAGAAAACAAGGTTAAAAATGGCTTAAGAGCTCTATGTAATGCAGTTCCACAGTAATATTTTTTTTTCATCTTAACATTCTTGCTGTATCTGATATAAACACAATATCCTTACTAATTTGGTAGCTCCACTGTGATTGTATACTGCTAAAACCTTAACTGCTTCTTAAGGTTTTCCTAAGATATTTCACTAATCAAAGGTCTGAGATAAAATGATTCTAGAAGTATCTTTTTTAATTCAGATTCACAAATTTGAAGAACCATTTTATCCACCAACCGTTTCTCTTTCCCCCAGAAGAGACATGGGGCGCAGGGAGCCGAGAGAGGTAAGCAGACAGGAACCCAGCCAGGGAGTATAGTTCATTTTTACTGCATTTTACTGCAGTGGCCTGCTACCCCATGTATGTATTTGAACTGTGTGTACAAGACACTGATGTGTTAACAGCCATTTTCCCTGCTTTTACCTTCCAGCACTGCCACTATAGTTGACTGTACTGGATCATGGGAATATCATGGAAAACTACAGTAGGCCCCACTAAGACACTTCAAATCCTTTGGAAGTTATTGCAAATTCTATTAAATCTAGACATAACCCAATATAGAGCAATCTTAAAAGCTTTATTTTTAATTTGTTTGTCTGGGGATTAGACCCAAAACAGTTTACACCTGTACCCATTAATTCGACTGAGCATTTTGCTATAGAGAAGTACAGCAGTACCTCGCTCAATGCTAAAATGTCAGTGCCCTGCCTGGCATCTGAGCCCATATCCTTCCAGTCTAGAACTCCAGCTCCTACTCCACACTCTGCTTTTCTATTAAAGTCTAATTATGAGGTTTCTTTTTTTTTCTCTGCAGATGGGCTTCTCCAAAGTCCTCTCTTTCTAGTGTGGTAAGGTCCTTTTCTGCTGTGTTAAGAGACTTTGCAAGCTGTGCAAGCTGTGCCTGGCAGCTCAATGTGTTGTTCTGCCCATCTGCAGAGGAGGAGCTCCGGAAGAAGCAGAGTCAAGAAGAAAGAAAATGACTCCGTTGAAAATAAAGAAAACGTGAGACACCTTTATGGGCTAGGAGGGTTAAAAGATAGAATACAGACTACAAGGTTCTAAAAACACATAAAGACACAGGGATTAAAAAACAACAGATACTAGAATTCTGAATTCACAAACTAGATCATGATATCAGTCAAGACTTTTCTTTTGTCTTCTACTGTATTAGGTAACCATCAGTTTATCTTGATTTTATCAGCCACAGTTTAAAGGATCATACCACACAATGTTGATTAAACATTCTCCAACCATTTAATCATATTTTTAAATTTTTCATTTAAATTAGTAGGCACAGTTATATATTGTTAAAAAGACCTTCTTACCCTGGCTTCTCCTTCACATTCTTTTCTGTATTACACAAGCTTTGTCTTTACTGTAGTGAGTGTTAAGTGTCTCCGTTCATGCTGTGAGCATCTGTGATGAACATTCGGGTCATGATGCACAAAAGGGATCACTGCAAGTCTCCCAGCAAAGTGAAGGGGAGAGATGACTGTTCCCCTCACTGTGGACTGTTACACTGCAGGCTCGGAAGCGACTGCGAGTCAAGCTGTCCAGCCTGTTTGCCAGCCCAGCAGAGGCAGGAGGGAGACGGGACCCGAGTTCACAAGCCGAGGAGAGCAGCGGTCAGGGGGACCAGCAGCCGCCAGCGCACAGAGTGAGACACAGAGCTCTGCTGAAAACCCTGAGATCACTGAAGACAATGATCCCAACCAGAGCCATTACATTGCACTGAATTACTTTGTGCGAAGGCTCTAACGCAGGAATGAACAACTCCAGTCTTTAGAGACTAGAGTCCTACAGGAATGTTTCAATTAGCAAATGACCTAAAATAAGTAATTAGTTTGAGTAACCCAAAGGAATTAAATCCTGAGCTAAAATCACTGGTTGGAAGATGCAGGATCACTCTGTTACAACTAGAAAGACATTTCATTGCATGCAACTATTGCTGCACGCTGTATTGCTGTGCATTTGCTAAATAAACTTTGATTGATTGATTGAGTGATTGATTGATTGAGTGATTGATTGAGTGATTGATTGAAAAGCGTGCTTTCTTGATGAGAGATGGAAGAAAGCACAACTCAATTCATTTACTTCTTACAAAGTCTCAGATCTGCTGCAGGTGGTCATGGAAGCACATGTTGGCTCTACAGGAGCAGCAGGGATGGATGAACATTTAGGATGAACATTTAGTCAGAAATAATTTCCAAGCACAAAGGAAGGCTGTTTAACAGGAATTTAAGGTGTCTGCCACATTTTAAACGTCCAAACAGCCCCACACTTAAAAGAAACACAAGATGCCTGAAATATGACCTGTTTTATGTATTAATAATAAGACATATGCTGTGCTTACACATACCTACAGTACCTGTATGACATTTAAAATGGTCTTTTTGTCCTCTGCAGACCGTGTTTCCTCTCTGGGGTCTTCAGTCAGGGTGCTGGGCGCCTGCCTTGGACATCCCACACTCTGCTATTCAAGACAGAAACCTGATTGGAGACTTCAGCAAAGTTAGCAATTCTCAGTGCTAAGTGGAGACTGTGTGGAGTATTCATGAACTACAGTAGCAATTCAGTCACAGGATTGTTTGAAAAGCTTGATATTGTGTGGAGAAGTTCACTTTTCTGGATCTATGATGTTGAAGTGTAGTTGTAGTTTTCTATGTAACATGCTTTCTTGCTTGGCATCTTATTAAAGAGTGGTTATGCTGAGCAAACTTAGTGGTAGAAGATTCTGATGAACCTTCCACAGCAGAGCGCTGCCCCGATCACAAAGTACTGCCCTTACAATTTTGTAAGCAGAGTATGTATTTCTCTGAGCCAAAGCTGCTGTCCTTAAACTGTCCTCGGCGTGTTGTTTCTGTCCCAGCCGGCGCAGTCAGATGTGGCAGACTGCTAATACAATAAGTATAGGAAATAAAAGATTTCTTAATGGAAAGAAATATGGCTTTGAAGATATGCAAGTGCGGAGTGCGTTTCTCACTAGTCCTCTGTTTGTTGTGTTTTAACAGCCTCATCTCTTCGCGAGGGAGAAAGGAGAGCACCAGGACCTTCAGTACGTTTCTGGGCAGACAGTGAGTAACACTATTCACCCCTACTCTCCTGTCACAGCTTCCTTTAACGAGACTTTCGTGAAACACTACAATGCAGGGCCTAGCGATCTGCAAGTGTAACAGACACAGTCAACTCAAGCATCATTGGCACCCTTCATGAAATTGAGCAAAACTGAATGCATAAAATAAACAACACATACAATGAGTCATGGTTTGGGCTCAATCAGATGGGGAAGCTGTATGCTTTTATTTTAACACGAACATTTTTCGAACACAAAACATTTTATTGAGCGGTACAATTTTTTTCTGCAAAACGAATGTGGAATATTTACACAGGACAATTATGGAAGTGAGGGCATAGAAGGAACTGAAACACGTACGTCCTGCATCCTGGACGCCTGAATGACACCCGAGTCTCACCATATTGAGCTGCGCATGGTATTCCCGTATTGTCCTGCAGGTGGCGTCTCTGCTCCTAGGAGAGTACAGCACTGCAGTGAGGAGCTTCCTCATTGTTGACTGCCGCTACCCTTACGAGTACCAGGGCGGACACATAAAGGTATACCTGGGACTCTCTCCACATTTCTGTACCACCTTTCCCTATTTACTTTACGTAGAAAGAGAGATAGATACAAACCGAAAAGAAAGACCAAACAAGTTTTGTTGAAAAATACGTTTGCCATGAGTACATGGCAGTGCTGAGATGACTAATCAAAAAGAAATGA